TCTGCTTACCCAATTTTAGAATAGGTCTACTTCATACCTCCTCTAACGTAGTTAAGAATTTTACATAACTAACATGTTTTGACATACCTTTTAGTTTATATAGTATCATTGGTACCATAGAACATTGTTGATAAAAGGCCAGAACTGTCTTATGTGGAAATAAACACTATTGAAGCAATAGTATTCTATAATTTTGCCTTGATTGAAAACTCCTCAATGAAATGTAACTCTTCAGTTTATCGGATTTGTATCTGCGCTAGACAGCAGAATGACAAAGGCAGCTCCTAACAATTACTTTATTACAGTTTAAACGGTGGTTCTGTTTAAACAGATACCTGTAATACACAGAGATAAAAAAACCTATTTCACACAAGTTCACGGTCAAGTACATTAGTTCTGTATCTATCTAATTAATTGACCATTTTGTCATTGTAGATATCGCGTAACTAATATATTAGCCGGTTTCCGGTTTCTTGTTGAAATGTCAAGTACATTATTTAAAAAAGCAATATAAAACATTAAGATAAACGGGTTAATTCCGCATGACAGAACCCTGGAAGTTGTTTTCTTATTGCAACTGTGGGTACACATCGTTCGTTCAGAGTTTATTGGTACCACGCTCCTTGGTCCAACATACCTTAGTTAATGTAATTGTTTGAAATACTGAACTTCTATTGTCTTCTACTTCAATGTTTACAGAGTCCGAGACTAAACCTTGCTCATTTTAATCGGCATTACCGCTATGGCTACCTACTAGCCATTAGACGGTATTTATTCTTACAAAACGCGTGTGTTTTTATTTAATGGTAAATGAAGGTCCTTTCAAACGGTGTACCCATAAACAAAGTTTGCCTAGCAACTACTTCAAGTTAACTTTACACGAATATTTAATTATGTGAATAATTGTCATAAAACAGCACACGAAACTTTCTTATTTTTAGAACTGCTAGCTCAATAATAGTATCCCAAAGCCATACGCCCAATGGACATTTTCGATTAACAGATATTAACTTATACACACAGTTAATTCCATTAAGCTAATTAAGGTTATTACAAAACTCCATTAATACAATCTGATATTTCAATGAAACACCCCGCTCTATCCCCACCGAACAAATGAGCTGATCCCGCAACGACGGAAGTCCCGAGATTCAAAGAACTCCACAAGCTTGGAGAAATTAGTCACATTTATCCAGCCACACAATTAAACAGTAGAAGATAATTCTTTATCAGAGATACTTTGACCATCTTTTCTTAACTGGCGATGACATGGTAAATGGGGCAGAGAGATGCCTACGTGTAAGCGAAAATACTTGACAATAAACTGATCAAGAAATGAGCAACGGTTACAGTTTTAATATACACTGGAATGGACAGTAAAATGAGCTTGCCTATATAGTTGTGAATTTAGTATTTTTCAGTCAGCCGATTGAGGGTCAAAATGCCCATATAGAAATAAATTTCACCATAATGGCAACTTTTGATATAACTGATTAAATATAAGCAACTCCGATTAAAGGTTATAGCTTTCTTAATAAAATTATTTCATCCTACAACTCGACCCACACAAGTCAAAGTCTCAGACTTAATAAATCACGAATTTATTTCCAGAACATCTTCTTAAATTAAGAAACTAAAGTGGCCGCCGACTTTTAAATTAGGCCTTGTTGTTATCGAAAGAGTTAAAAGTCTATTCTCATAGTTGTCATTATTGATAAAATAGGACGATAGAATTGATACTTTTAGTCCATTGATTAGCCATAAATTGTATAGCTATCAAAGAATGCCAGATAAAGAGACTTATATTCACGCTATAAAGGTGTTTTCTCAGTTAGATGAACGAGCCATTTAAAGATACTCTGTCAGTGAAGGACATGGTTTAAATTAACTTTATCACAAAATTGTTAAAGGTCCCACATATACTTCAATGAACAAAACTGTTTAATTTAAGATGAAACCATTATCCCGGCCCTGTGCTGCTTATCTTTATCGCAGTTTTATTTTGGGCATTCCGTGAAAACTGCGACTATTAATATATAGTTTTACTCCAATTTGTCTTGACTATTTGGTCTAGAATTGAAGAAGAGGGTCTGGGTTGACATTTTCTGACAGCTTTAGGTATATATTCGTTGTTTAGAGGCGGAAGGATAACAGAGTTAAGAAGTTGGTAACGGTGATATGGATGGTGGATAATTATATGTTTATAGTATGCCACTTGAAGTGTGTGTATCTCAGAATTTCAGATGCCTTGCTGCGTCTGTGGTGGAAGGCGTTCAGCCCAACGAAAATTTGGAGGAAATTGGGAGTCGGGCAAAGTGACCAGAAATGACATTAAATTTAAGGGGAAATAATTGTGGTCTGCATCCTTTCCTCTATAAAGAGTTGTCTCATGATATCGTCATAAACAAAACATTGCGTATAAATATGAATTTAAATCAAGTACAAAATGATTGAAAGATTTGCTCCACTAAACTCATTTACAGATGCATTACATATGTTGAACATTTCAGCCAGATAACTTTATTATGGATTTGGACAAGAATAGCCGATTGTCATGTATTGAGTGACGTCCATTTTAAATTTAACCGATTATAGTCTAATCCATTAAATATCTCGGCGTAATACTATGCAACCATGGTTCTGGTCTATGGGTGGTTCAGTGAGTAAGGCACTCACTACCCAAGAGGACCTGGGTTTGATTCCATTTTTTTGGCAGAGAAAGTTTCTCGGGGTTATATAGTGTGGTTTCTCCAGTAGTGCAGGACGACGGGGGAGGGGTGTTTGATGAGGAACTGCGTGTAGTTGTTCTTGTGAAACAAAAACGAGGCTCCTGGTACACATTGACGTGCACGTAAAAGAACAGTTGGAATTCAATAAAGAGTAGTTGTAAACTCCACGGTCCGAGCAAAATTTTATTTACAAACAGCATAGAAGTTGATAGATAGTATTTCTTCTAATAAGTAGTGTAAACCATAAGATAGTTGAACTAGTGCTGGAACATGCTTTCACAACGAATTTATTGCCTAAAATATATCTGGTTCTGCTCCATTAAACGGGCTCGTATGATGGCGCTTGCATATAATCTATGATAGCATCTCCCCAGTTAGATGTAAGTCGTATATGAGGCATACTGTGCTTACTCAATTAGGACTACTTTTCATTTCACTTTATTCATCTTTCAGCAGTCAATTACATTTGAGCACAACGACTGAACATGAGATTCAGACACTAAAGTATTTTCATTTATTTATGACCAACCATAAAATTATGATTTAATACTTTTTAAGAAGTAAGAAGTGTGTGTATATTGTTGTCGACCTCTGTTCACCTATAAACGATGATTAGAACAAATTAACACAATCCCCGGGTCCAATATTCTCATTTCCTTTTAGTTGCAAGTTCAAATTATTACACTATATAAGTATAATGATTTACATTATATGATGTAATTCATGCAATGTGTTATCAATAGGCATCTATTTGGGATTGTTTTTTAAAACAATAATGCATTTTGATCTGCTACGCCTCATTCCATTTGTCTACAAACGTTTTGTGTCAAGCTATTTGGTAGACAGAAAGGTAAAAAGCAAAGGCCCAAATTATTGAGTTCTGTACGGCCAAGGAGTCTCTTCAGCGACACTAATTTGAAATAATGTTCTGTGTTCTTTCTAAATTCCTTAAACTGCTCCGTGTAGGTTAGTTTCAGATTTGTAATGATTTTCATGTCATTGTCACTAGTCAGACTCATCAGTCATAGAAACACATTTTTTCTTTTTTCTTCAAAGAAAACGAACTTTAAATCCGTATCTAACAACCCGCAGATATAATGATTCTGTGATCATAATCCAATACCGCTTTCAATTCTTTTCATCTAAATTCTAAATTGGAATTGTTCAGTAGAGGGTGAAGTTTCATACTTTTCATGATCTGACATTCTAATCACGAAATACAGTCATGTCTTTTTATCTTTTAATATTTGTGTGTCGATAAAATGACATCAGTATAGTATTACATTATACTGATTATCTGCCCTTTTATCAAAAATAAATACATTAATAACGATCGGAGAATCAAGCATCATCTGATTACAGATGTCGCTTCTTATTTTCATTTTTAATTAAGTACCAATAATTACAAATCCGCGAACTTCTCGCCAGTAGACAGTTACTTTCATGTTATGACACTTTCCTATATGAACCATATTACTTTATAAATGTTCTGTCGAGAAGTCTATAATTATTGCTCAATGGATCAAAACGTCAGTATACAAATTAACAAATTCCCTAGGGTACGGCTAAACTTATCTCCTAGATACTTCCAACTCGTTTAGATGGTAAGGATGTTATAGTATAGTTTAAATACAAGTACAATTTCACTTCTATATAGATTAATATTAATTCCGATTGCTTGGAGATTTTAAATTTCATTTTTACGGCAACGTAGTCATGGCAAGTTAAATGTTCAATTAATTATAGTCAAGACAACGGAATTAAATTTATTATAGTCAAGACAACGGATTTAAAATTAATTGAATATTAATTTAAATTCGAAAAGGTCAAATGTTACTACTAAAGATATCTAGCATTTGATAAACAACTTCAATTTATAATAGTCATCATTTTATGAATTCTCGGCGGCTGCTTTTTCCCCCGTTTACGTCAATCATATTAGCATTAATGTTATATTTGAAAACACAGATTAATTATTTTAATAACATATTACCAATTACTTAACCATATTAAGAACCAGCAGATATTAAACATTATACAATGTAAATTTGTCAAATATAATCAATATATAAACCAAAGAGAAGATTATTTTGCGATAACACGATTATAACTCGAATAATTCACAAGCAAGTATATTAGAATGCTGATGAAATTTGTCCGGTTGCTCGACAAAACTTGTCCGGTTGCTCGACTTTGATGATGATTACCTCTCCATATTACTATAAAATTAAACTTCATCTAGTTGGTAAACTATGTCAACAACAAACTTACCTTTTATATTTTAAGTTTCAAGATAATCAACACTCATGTAAAGTAGACTAAAGTTTGTGTCATAAATATCAACCTCCAAATAGTTAGGTGGCGCTCTAAAACAATACCTCAATCTCCATTGCCTGACATCGATCCGAGCGCTCAGCTCTTGTCAACTAAAAGTGACGGATCGCGCGCTTTCAATGCATGTCACGTTGCCGCGAGATGGATAGAATAGTGAGCACGCGGACTCCTCCTACTTACCTAGCATATCTATATAATTCCATCTCATGTCCAAGAGATATTCCTGGTAGCTCTTTCAGTGCCAACATATTCCTGAAACTGCTGAAAGGATTAAACAGAGATTGCCCCGCATTTCTGGTCTCGCATACAAGTGGAGATTTATTAATCTGTTCACACTGTTAGATGTCTTCTAGAACTGAAAGTGAGTGAATCGAGCGACTTAATGACTTTACCAATATTACTTGAATTCATTATCTTTGAACATTTGACGGGGTTGCTCTAAATAGATTTTAAATACGCCGACTGGCTGACGTGATTATAGAAAATAGTTTCAGATAATCATGCCCCATATTCGATTTCCATATAAGTGTGTGTATATATATATACATTTATTCAAAAACAAGTTTTCCTGTATCAGTTTGGAACTTTTGAATTTTTGTTAAAGCCGCATCATGCCAGAATAAAGGTTAAACATAAAGTTCCAGTCCTCACACAATCAGAAGTAATTATACTATTCAAAAAAAGTAGGGGATATTTGATTTTTAAGTGTTATTAAAGTCACCTAATGAAACTGACGAAGAAACAAATGACAAAATGAAATGAAGTTCACATTCATCGATTTATTCCAAATGATCGTTAGACTAAGTAAGGCACAGACTGACCATTATAAGGGTAAAATGATACCCGGGGTCAAACAGCAAAGTTACCACAGCATCACAACCAAGTCAGTAACGGGTAAATCCTCCTCTGTTTGCCAAACAAGCATTGATCCGACGTGGCATACTCCTAATGCAACGCAGCAGCAAGTTCTTGGACATTGGCAGGACGTTGTTGACGTTGACGTAACCTCTGTCCAAGCGTGTCCCAGACATGCTCGATGGGGGAGAGGTCGGGACTCAGTGATGGCCAAGGTAATTTGGTGATGTTCTGTTGTTGGAGGTAACCTGTAACGATCCTGGCCCTGTGACATCTTGCGTTGTCATCCTGGAAGATGAAACGGCGGCCATGACGTCGTGCGAACGGCAAAACATGGACTGCCAAGATGTTGTCCCGGTAGTACTGGCCTGTAACACGCCCTGCAACAACATGTAAAGCCGTTCTTCCAGCAACAGTGATGCCTCCCCACACCATAACAGAACCACCCCCAAATCGATCATGTCTGATGACGTCAACGTCTTGGAAGCGCTCGTTTCGACGACGCCACACCCTCCTACGTCTGTCCAAAAAATCAACAGTGAACCTTGACTCATCTGAAAACATCACATTGCTCCAGCGTCGATTATCCCAGTGTTGACGATCCCTACACCAACGACGTCTTGCCTGAATGTGATGATCTCTCAAACAAGGGATCACGCGAGGACGTCGGGCGCGAAGGTGACCCCTATGCAGTCGATTCCGAATCGTCTGGCCACTCACTCCCACACCAGTGTCTGTTTGAAGACGAGCGCTGATCTGATTTGCTGTGATGACACGATTTCTCAAGGCCAAGGTACGGATAAATCGATCCTGGGATTGAGTTGTCGCCCTTGGTCGACCTGAGCGTGGTCTGTCCTGTACAGATTGTGTATCACGGTATCTGGACCATAGCCTGCTTATGACAGACTGAGAAACATTCATCGTCCGCGCCACAACCGCCTGTGTTGTGCCGATCTGTAGCATGCCAAGGGCACGTAACCTTTCATTTTGGGTAAGCCGACGCATATCAAAATTTGTTTTCTGGTCACTAAAACAATTAAACTGATGTTTCCACCCTGGAATTCAATGCCACAATGACTGTAACATTCAAAGTCAGAGTCGTGCAAATCTTGGGTTGGACCCCCATGATGATCCCAAGCATCACCTGCATTCCATGCGGTAGCTATTGGTGCGTTTGGGCGTCACATGTAACTGGAAATGTTTCTTCTGTTAGGTTCTATAGTGACTTTTTTCGTAGTCATTTGCATATTTTAGTATTATGCCCCCAAAATCAAATATCCCCTACTTTTTTTTGAATAGTATATATTAAAAACATATTCAGCCAAAATTATTGAAACCAACCAATTTTAAGTTAATTGTGGTTATTTTAAATATACATTGGTTTCCGCTGGTTTCACTTGGGCATATTTCTCTTTTAGTTATAATAATTGTGCTAACGTTTTCTTTCAAGCCATCCCATTCTTCATGAAGGTCATTTTATAGACAGATGTGTTTAATTACATAACATTCTATACACGACGTTTGTTTTACTTATGAAATATGTGCGAAATATCTGGCGTTTTGGGTCTATAATAAAAGGAATAATTCACAACAGCTTATTTTATTTGTGTCAGCAAGGTGTGTGAATATGAATATTATCTGGTCAAACAATAGTACTATTAGTAAGGCACTGTATTATCAGCACGCGTCTCATCCGACCACGTCTTTATACAAGTCAGATTTTTTTTTCAAAAAACAGATGCATTATCAAGCGATATTAAGACATTGCCTTATTATACTCGATACAATACAACATACAAATTCTTCCGTAGACATTATTATGTGATTTTCAATATCCACTCCGAGGGATAAAGAACATTTAACCGCGTGTCAGGAAAATATTTATATCATCAGATTAATAAACTCTTAACAAAAGAGAAATTAACGCTTTGTTTTTGAGCCAGAAGATAAATCACGCTCTAATTTCAAACACATCGCCATATAACAAAGTAGTAAATTAGGAGTTTATCAGAGAAGTCAATCGGAGTTAACCGAATCGATTTTCCGTAACTAAACTGTTTGACTGTATGCTATCGTGTTGATCGCAATTAACTTCGTAAATAGTCGGCAATTTCCGTAATTAGTACATATTCCCTTTATATGGAAGGATATTGCTGCCAATATTAAATGCTCCGCTAAAATGTCTTTTCCATTGATTATGTGTAAAAAGTACTATGTACAAAGTCCTAATACCGGTAATGATAAAGTCTAAATACCTTTATATAAAACGTCAAAAGTAATGTGTCAAATGACAAATGTTTTATTGGAAAATGCTGCTTTTTGACGTGTCAACAAAATTTTACATTGTTCTCGTTACTTTTACATTTGCGCTCTGCAGCATCTCATTTGTCCTTCACGCTTTCTACATAGCATCTTATTCACCGCATTATCTTTGATAGAGAGAGAGATGGGGTTTAACGCCCACGAGACTAACATCAAGCATGAGGTTGGACAGGCGACCCTGCTAACCATTCAGCCATCCAACCCGCCGAATGCGAAGGAACTAACTCATAGATTCAAAGATAACAGGAATTTCGTATTAAGCCCCGCATTTTGTATTTTTACATTTTAAACACTCGCCACTGCCCCCCCCCCACACACACTCTCTCTCTCACCCTCTCTCTCTCTCTCTAGAGTTTAGTACAGACTAATTAACTTTGATCCATTAAAAAAAAGAGTACATATCCATTGTGCCCAACAACTAATTAATATACTTAAAGAGAGGAATGTTATATAGTTACACGGAATTCTGGATTTAACCCCGCATCTTTAGTTCAAATAATACCCCCCCCCCCTCGTCATCTAATAGAGTTTCATACCACCCGATGGTTTTGAAGGTGTGCAAATATGAATGTGTCAGAAAATTATTTACATATTAGAAAAGGGCAATGAACGTGCTTTTTAGTTATAGGTAGCATATTTGGTATTTCGTATTAAGACCCGTATTTTAACATTGACCCCCCCCCCCCCCCCCCCACACACACACACACACACGCAGTCGCTTAATAGTGTTTCGTATCATCCAAATGATTCTTTCCTCAAGTTATAAAAAAAACGAACGTGCCAGTAAATTATTTACATATTTAAACCAGCGGTTGCCAGACAAGAAACGCCCACATTTTGCAAGAGATGGATAGAGGACAAGCTGGAAAAGGCGATTTTTCGTAGAATCTGGGGCCATAACCATATCGAAATGGACTCTGATATTTGGGATATATATAAAGATATATTTTAAGTTTCATCAAAATCGGATACAAATAGTGACTTCTGGAAGGTCCACAACCTTGAGTTACATACTTTTACACTGTTTGCGTTCAGGGAGCGACCATTTTTGTTAGGCAGTTTCGGTCCGTGTTTCACGAAATTCGGACTCATTAGGGTGTAACGGTGATACATTCAAACGTTTTTTTTTCAAATCGGTTAAAAAATTGTAACCTCAAGAGGGACCACAAGCCTAAAGATTTTTCGTACAGCCAAGGGCCATAATTCCGGAAGTTACGGTCCCATATGCGTGAATATCGAAAGGAACAAAGATCTTTTGATTATGATTATAATTATAGATTTCAAGTTTCATCAAAATCAGATAAAAATAGAGTTTTCTAGAGTGTCCACAACCTTGGTATTACATACGTTTACACTATTTGCGTACAAGGAGCGGCCATTTTGTCCGGCAGTTTGGGTTAGATTTTTTGAAAATTGAATATAAATTGTGACTTTAGAGGGTCCACAATCTAAAAACGTGATTATTCGAACAATAAGGGGCCCCAATCCGATATGCGCGAATATCGAAAGGAACTACGATCTTTGGGTTATAAACATGTATTTTGAGTCTCATCAAAATCGGACCAAAATTATGACCTCTAGAGGTTCCACAACCTTGATATACCATATTTTTAAACTATTTGCGTACGAGGGGTGGCCATTTTGTCCGACAGTTTTGATCCGATTTTCACGAAATTCGAACTCAACTGACATTACGGTGTAACGGTGATATATTTGAACGTTTTTTTTAAATCGAATAATAATTGTGATCTCTAGAGGGATCACAAGCTAAAAACGTGATTTTTCGTACAATCAGGAGACATAATTAAGGAAGTTACTATCCGATATGCGCTAATATCACAAGGATCCAAGATCTGTGGGTTATAAACATACATTTCAAGTATCATCAAAATCGAAT